CAGGCGGTGTGGGGACGGTCAGCGGGTTGGAGGATTGAGCAGATCAGTGGGCTGGGGGCTCAGGGGGAACTGATGGTTGTTGGATTGGGCACTGGTGCAGGTGGTCAGCAGCTTGTGAGCCTGGGCAGACCATATGTGGAAGTCCCCTGAGCTGGTCTACTAAAAAACTACCATGCTCATCTTTTTAACTTTATTCTCATTTCTCTAACTTATATTGTGAACAACTGTAAGTAATGTAACACTTTTTTCCTTTTCTTTGTACATCTATTTCTGTATTTTGTACCTAAGGTCTGTACCTGGGTACTTTGTACCTAAGGTGGCACCGTACGGGGGCAACATTGTCAACTTTTCATTGTGCTCCTGTACTTCCGTATTTGAGCACACACGACAACAAAGGATACTCTAATTCTAAGAATAGAGAATAGTAACTCAATTTGAGTTTGGCCAAAAAGGTGGGAGGAAAGAAGTCCCACTGAATACAAGTCATACCTTATTATAAGAAATGTGTAACCCTGTAAGAAACAAATCCTTTTACAGTGTTAAGATATGTGAGGAATTAGTATCATGGCCTGTGAAAGTTTCTGTCTGGAAACTATTCGTCTTTCAAGTATTTTTTGAAGTAACCCTTTTGTGCGTAAATGGCTATTCTGCTATGTTAGCCATCACTTAATAAAGAGGATGAAATCTATGTGAACTGATTTTGCCCAGCAACACAAAGAAATAGCAGACAGTTGTTCAGGTTGTAATAGATCCAGATTGGTTAAATCAAGAGACATCAAGATACACATCAGAACAGAATAACAGGTTAATAACGGCTGTCAATGTGGAAGTACAGAAGCAGAAATAAGGAAATGTTATATATGTAATCACCTAAGCTGCTAGGATAGAGGTCTCCTTTGTTATAGAGCCCTGTTGGATGATTTACAATCCAGTTCCTTGTGAACATGGATCATTGATACAGTAATGTTTCTAATTCAATCTCATCAAGACAAACTGCAGGGTGGTTGAAGCTGACTGGCCGCTTGGTATGGAAGCAGTTCCTTGTCCCAGTATCAATATCCTGAATCATGATGAGTACTTCCCATCATGAGTAGGAAGTGATCAACAGTAGGGGTCAGGACTCCATTCAGAGGACTCGAGTAGAAATCCCATTTTCAACACTGAACCATGTAAAAGCCCTCCCTCGTAAACAGCCTCTTCCCAGGATCCTTTTTCTATCCATCAGAGTAGGATGTATATTAGCTGCCTCAGAAACATTCGAAGTAGCAGGCCGTTATACTGTAATGGGAAAGAAATCAGCGTTGGTGAATCCAACAGGTCTTGGGAGAAGGTCAGGACAGAAATCTGCACTCCCAAATCCCGGCACAGCAAACCAGTCTCAACTGCGCTGTTATGGAATTAGGAAATGATGGTCAAAGAGAAATATAGGAAGCACAGCCTTCTCAAGCCACGTTGTGACAACAGTTGATGGTGGGAATACAGATCTTTATTGCATTGGGTCAGAGATGGCGTCGGGAGGAAAATTTGGAAATGAGAAAAATAAGTAACCAAAATTAACAAACTGCAAACACCTGAAAAGATGAAAAGAGATGATGCTTTCCTGCTGCCTCAACCTTCAAAATTTACCTCAGTAAGAGAAGAAAAATATAAACAAACATTTGGAAGTGTAGTTTTACATCAAGTGACCTGGCTACTGAAATAAGCTGAGCTTGATGAGGTTGGGTGACGGCCAGAAAGAAAGAGAAGTGCAACATTTCCTCTCAGCGTTGTTGTCATGCAACAACTGGAATGCTCTAGCACAGGTGGAACGTGAGTCAATTCCTTTAATAACCACAAGTGCAAATAAAAAAAGTCAATGACCTATGCTCTTAATAGAATAAAATGCATGCAGCATTGGTGAAATGAGTTGGAATATTTGAAATAGGCCATGCCCAATTTTAAGTTACAAATGGCAAGTTTCAAGGAAGGTAGATAAAGATTTCTTTTTTTCCACAGTTTTATGTTAACAAGTGGACACGACAGATCTTCGCATGAGGTATTTAGTCAGTAGAAATTCTTGGCTTGCTTGCAATCAATTTCTCATTTAAAAGAGATCCTCAACAGCGGAACTTACAACATAGGCAGCTAAGAAAGGACAAATTATCCCCTTTAAAAACATAAAAAGCCAAGTGGTCAATGCAGTATGCCATGAGAGTTTAGGTCAATATAGCAAATACTTCAGTCATTTACCATCTTATCATTTTGTTACACACCCTCAAGTGTGATTGGAGTCAAGAAATACCAGGGAGTTTATGAACAGGTACACATCTGATTCAACAACAACATTTTGCAGAAATTCTGTCTGACGTGGTTAAAGAAGTCTCAAATATTTTCAGCTTTTGGAAAAATGTCCCCAACTTGTGAAATTACAGCAATGTACTGATGAGGGAAAAAGGAGTTCAGGATTTGTTTTTGTTGAGAAAGAAACCTAGAAGCCTCTTCATGAAAAACAATGTTTTTCTCAATGAATCAAACCTAACTTAAATCTTGCAATGGGGAGAGGGGTGAGCAGGTTCCAACTTCATGACAGCACAAACCAAGCAAAACTCCAGAAGATGGCAAACAGAGATAAAAACCGAAAATGCTGGAAATATTTCACAGATAAGGTAGAACCTGTGGGCAGAGAAACAAGAGGTGACAGCACAGGTCAATGACCTTCGTCAGAACTAAGACAAGTCAGAGATATAAACTGTTTGGATATAAATGGATACAGCAAGGAGAAAAGAAAGATTTGTGAAAGGATAGAAGATGGGAGACATTGAATGAGAGATCCAAAGGGAATGTTAATGGTAGACTTGTTTAAATTAGGATTTCTGCTCTTTCTTTAACTTGGGACCCTGCTTTGCATATTAAATAAGTACCTGCATAGATTATTTGTAATATTTCCTATCATCATCCTAACAGTATTGTTTCGTCAGTAGGAAACAGCAAATATTATACCAGTCATGTTATCATCTGAAATAGCTGCCTTGATACCAAATATAATTTTCCTTATGCAATTGAAAATGTATTTTTTTTTGCAATTTTTGAAGCTGTCTGTGCAAAAATTGCAGGGAAGGTTAGGACTAATGATGAAATGATATAATTTAAGTGTTGGATCCACAGAGATGGCATACAAGGAAATCAAAATTCACTGCCACACTCTTTGTCAGACTCTTATTCAATTCCAATAAAATTTGAAGTTTAGTCACAAAAGCAAACACTTCACTGTTAAATAGTGTTTCACTTATTAAAAGATGATGCAGTGAATAATAAACATGGTTTACCATTGTAGCCACTCAAACATCAGACTGAGAGGAACACAAGCTCATGGTTTAAGATCGGAGCATCTGGAGTCTGAGGACAGATTACAGAATGGGTAACAAGGCAGGTACAAGACAGAAAGTAGAGAGAGGGGTTTAAGGGTCACGATTAAGATTGTGAAAAGATGTAAAATGGTATGGCACCCAGACTGGTGTTGCCTAATTATTGATTTCACCTCAGGCATTAGAAGCAAATTTTCAAAATTTTCAGTCAATGTTGAATTAGAAGTTGCGATTAATACTCAGGAAGAGTGTGGAAAAATACAGGAAAATATAATAAACTCATACAATTGCTATGTCATAGATAGGTCTACGTCAATATTGGCACCTGTAAGGTGACGCAGTTTGGTACGAAGAAAAGGGAGGCCAAATGCTGCTTGGGTAGTCAGAGGTTGAATGTAAAAGGCTTGGCTACAAATACACAAATCACTGAAAGGGGGTATACAGGTTACTAAGGCCATTGAAACAAATACATCACTGGAATTTCTTTATGAAGGGATACGATTGAAAAGTCGAGAAGTTATGTAAAACCTCCGTTAAAGTATCAAATGGTTCAACCACATTTCAAGTATTGTGCACCATTCTGACCTCCATATTATAAAAAAGGATAAAGAGGCTTTGATGAAGGGGCGAGAAAAGTGCGTAAGGATGACTCTGGAACTGAGAAGTTACACTCGGCAGGAAATGTTGAGCAGAAACTGGGGGCTCTTATCTCTTAAAAATGAAAGGAAGGCCAAGGTAACCCGATATAAATCTTCATGCAATGATGGATTTGATAGGCCAGACATGACGAAAGTGTTCCTGTCTGTGAAGCCATTGGAAATGAGAGGAGATAATGATGATATAATCACGAATAAATCCAGTAAGAAGCTGCTCGTAAATTTTTTGGAGTATGTACAAACTGAAATTAGAAAGCAAGCCTTCTCCAATCATTATTTCTTGGCCTCAAGCTTTAACCAGAATGTAAATGGAGGAAGAAATTTTGGAAATAGTGTCAGCTCTGCAAAAAAAAACTATTGACAGAGCAAAAATAAAGTGAGAAAGAAAAATATATTCCTACCGTCCTTATGGCTATGGGTATTCCAGATTCATCAACAGGGCCAATTCCTGCATAATGCGGTGCTTTAATTACTGTGACTTTCTTCTCCTCTTCCGATGTTCTGTAAACAGGTTCAATGCTCATTACATCAGCACCAGGTGATTTGCTCTGCTGTGAAGTACTTAGGTTCTCTGTGAGGAACAAAATTGACATCACGTAAGAAACAAATCAAAATGAATAAAACATGTCCATCAGTGCCTCAAATGGCTACTTCTTTTTCTCAAACTTTAGGTTCCTCAACTGTCCATTCCTGCACTTCGATTTTAGAATAAATTAAATGGCACATTTCAATCAGGAGTGTCAGGATTGGGGAACAGACCATATTTCAACCCAACTGGTACAAGTTGAATGCTCTCATGTTTTTCACTCATATTTAAACTGCTTGGAGTTCAGGCTTTATAAAAAGAAGAGTCCCCATCATAAAAGTATGTAAAATATCGATTAAAAGACCCATTAATTAATCAACAAAGTCTCTAAACATTAAATAACATGCTTAACATTAGATCATTTCTGGCAAAATTATGTAATGACCTTCATACATAAAAGGACTCAAAACACAGAGATTTATGCCCACATGGTTTCCTATATTACAAAGCCCATCACAGCATGATATGAAATAAACCTTGAACTGCAAGTGTACACCATAACACGATCAATGCACCATAAGATGCAGTCACCCATCTGTTTGGCTATCTGGCACTGTGCCTGGAGTCCTTGTACCATAGGACACTGCCAAATTGTTCATGTTGAGTGTCACAGGAACTAAGAACACAGGAACTAAGAACAACAGACAGAGTTTTGATTCCTGTATCCTGATCCCAGCACCTGGATGAAATGTGGCTTGGGAGTCTGGAAATGCTGATGGTGGAATTCCATTGGCTGTTTTGGAAAATGTGGCTAATTGAGTAGCTGCATTTAGGATCCCAGTCCAGTTAAAGATGGTGACCAGACCCCTAATCTTGAGGGCCTACAGGGGGCCAACGGCCTCACCATTAATGATGTGCACTGCTGAAATACGAAAGGGAAATGTGAGGATGCCTCTAATTCCCTTCACTGGACACCAAAGGAGAGTTAAAATGGTTCAGATTGACCTCAATGTGGTGGGGGTTGGGAGTGAAGCCTCATTTAGCAGTAGGCAGTCCTTGTGGCCATTCCTTGTTGTGGTGTCTACCCCACTGAATAGACATCCAGATTCAAATAATTACACAGTATGGCACTGGGAAGCCATGACTGTTTCATAGACAGCTCCTGACTTGGTAGGTACCCAATGCACCACTAGAAAATCTAGACGGCATCAGGAGAGTGCCTTTAATCAAAACCTCAAGGTATTTAAAGAGGTACCGAGAGTGATCAATCAAGTAACCAGGACTGGCATCACCCCACCTCCAACAGAATCTCGTGGAGCCAGGAATATGTCATGGATTTGGCCAGAGTAGATTTTCCTCCTGTTTTCAGGTCCCTCAACAAATAAACCCACCTCCTGAACTCTTGAAAATTCTGCAATGAGTCTGCAATTACTTCGTGGAAATGGCTTGAGTGAAGATTTACATAATGACTCAATTCTTGACATAAATGTACCTGAAAGTGAATTTATGTTAAAAACTTGGATTGTGATATTGGACCTTCCATGTCAGCATGCCAAATGAAATGTGGCTTACTGACAAAAAAAGTTGTGCCATTCAATATTTTCTGAGCACTGAAACTAAACTGCAGCAACGGTGAAGTTCATTTTTTAATGAAAGAGATTAAAATGGTGAGAAATGGTAAGCAACACCAACTTATACGGGTCTAGATTTTATAACCACGTTAAACAGTTACTGTCATTACTTGATATTATGTGGAACATGCAGAGACAGGTCTATCTGACTTAATGGAACAGCATTAAAGAAATATTTCCAGTTTATGTTTACATGCTTCATTAGTGTCTGTCCTGTGGGAATAAATGAAAGTGTCAGTGGAATTAGAATAATGTTGAATTTGGCTACACTTATCTATGAGAGCAGACTGTTTGAGGAGATAAATTGGAAAAATGCTTGAGAAACCTCAAACTTTAATGATATTCACTGGGCCTTGGGACGAAACATAAACTTTGTGAAAGTGGGCGGTCGAGGAATAAATGTAAGAAAAGAAGGTTAGTTACATCAAATGATGTAAAGATTGTGCGGGAAAATGCCATTGAGGAGATGGTCAGTCATGACCTAAATTGAACGGCAGAGCAGGCTCAATAGAATGAATGGGTTACTCCTGTTCCAAAGTTTCTATGTTAGACTGGATTGCTCTGGTTACCGTCATCGTGGAACTATGGGTTTCTTTTGAGCCCACACTAATCAGCAGCTACCTCCTCTCCTGTGTCATTTTGGTGATTTGGATGTGTACAGATAGCAAGGAAAGATGGAAACATGCTGTGTACAAATTAAACCTAGGGAGCAAATCTGAACTTTTGTGTAGAGTTGAGGTATTCCTTTCGATATGGTGCCAATATATCTTTGGAAGAGGGGAGGTGCCCTTTGGAATCATTGGAAGTAGGCATGAATGTCCGTAAAAAGTACATTAAAAAGTTGTTACCTCACTGGAACTGCCAAAGTGTCAAAAGCAAGCGTCAAAAGGACCTTTCAAGGGTAACTGTCAAGAATCTCAAAAGGAACTGTCAAAAGCACCTTCAAAAGTATCAAGAGAAACTGTCAAGAGTAATCATTGAATTGAGCTGTCATACCAGCATGAAATTTAAGAGTCTTGTCCATTAGATCTCTGAAAGAAATGTTTGGGGTCTTCAAAAGAAAAGTCATTGCTTGCTATTTTACTCTATCAGTGCAGAAAGAAACCTAGGTTAGATTAGGATAAGAAGTAAAGCATCCTGAAATTTGGTAAACAGAATCTTTGGTCATTTTTGTACAGAACTGGTTGAGTGATTAATGAGTGATTAATGAATGAGTAACAGCCTCCTGTTTGTCTACTTTGGATTCCAGCATCTGCAGTTTTTTTTTTGTCGCTAACATATACATGTTGGGTGTTTCACCATTTTGGAATCAGATGCTGGTGTATGTGTCCACTGAATGTACATTTATCTAACACCCTCTCTCCAGGTTCTATAATAAAGCACATGGCCACCTCCATCATTCATTAATACCATTAAATCATCCAACTTTTTCATATCCTTCATGACCTCTTTCTCAAGAAATCACAGGAATTTGAAACAATGAAGGATTTTGTTTCACCAGTACTGGAGCAGCGAAATTAACAAATTTTAAATTACCATTCTCAGAGGGGATTTTACAAGGCTGTGAAATGAAGGCTTTTTCTTCAGAAAAGTGAAAACTTTATTGGCCAGTTGAGATATTTTGTGATGTTAAAATTATAATATTTCCCTTTTCACTATTTAACTAAAAAATAAATATCCATTGAACATGAAGGTCATGATCAGCAACATATTTTGACATTTAACCTTTAATTAATTAGAACATTAAAGAGTCTGAATTTTTAATCATTTTATATTAACCAGCGCTCTTTTTTACTTATTATACCAATTCCAAGCTAACAAAATTGTAATCATCTGTGCATTTGAAATTTTTAACTGTATAAAGATTACTTACTAGTTACATTTGGGTATGTAAACCAAATGTCACTGCACAATATAGGTCATCATTACAAATTAAAATGAGTAATCATTGCCAAATGATTAATTCAAAGCCAATAGCACAATTGAACAAAGTAAACATTGCACAGAAACAGCTTACCCATGGTTCTGCTGTGCTGCATTGCAACAATGTTTGGATTTACTGAAGGTGATGAAGAATAAGCTGATGATGGTGAGAAGGGCCTTTGCAAATAACTCATTGGGCTGCTGCTATCGGTGCGAGAATTTCCGTTCACCACCATCTGCATACAGCAAGAACAAAACAGACCATCGTAAGTACCCAGCAATGAACTAATACCACTTTTATTAAGGTGGGAGGATGGCAAGACTTTGCTACCCACAAAAGGGAACAGTGGTGATGCGATTAGTACATAGAGAAACATACACAGTTCACTAGTGAGTGTAGAGTGCCATCTGAAATCAAGATTGTTGATGTGAATTTACAGTGAGCTTTCTTCCAAAGCATTCCAACTTTCCAGACAAATGCTTCCACATACTGCTGCAGTCTTCCAGGCAGGGATACCACTCCTGTCATACAATCCCCCAACTCCACTTTCCACATTAGTTTAGTTTCACTGCATTATGGGTTCTGACAATGCTAACACAATTGTTATCCCCAAATGAGGGAATATTAGTTCCAATGAGAATAAAACTAAATGTATTGTTTATCACCTCATGCAGTCAGTGCTTCAACATCTACAAAACAAAATGTGGGTTAAAGGATAAATGATGAAATGATGAATTGGTTTAGCTAATAATGAATAACGGGCATGTTTATGTCTGGGGTTTCATCCATTTTTGGAAGACATGTTGGTGCATGTGCCCACAAATGTTCAATTGCCAAACACTCTCTCTCCTGATTGTACACTAAAGGAGATGAACCTTCAGAAGTTCAGCCACCATCATTCACTAACACTATCAGACTATCGACTCCTTCACATTTCATTTCCTTTTGTTTATTAAAAAAATCACATGGATTTTTAAAAAAGAGTTAGCTTCATTAATATCAGCACAGAACCATTAACAAATTCAAAACTAATGTTCCCAGCAAGGCTTTTGCAATGCTATGAAATGAAGGTTTAAAAATAATCCCTGAGGAAAGGTTGAAGCAAAGAACCAAGTGTAACCTGTGTCTGCCTCTATTTTGAATCTTTCCTGCATCTGTATAAGCAATGTGAATCTACACACAGCTGTTTCTTCAAAGGATCTTCAAACCCAATGTGATTGTGGTTAAGCTGAAAGGTTGCGTTGAAAAATGACTCAATCATGCGCTCAGGGATGTTACTGACCAAATGAACTGTGCAATAAGTACAGATGTATTTAAAAATTAGGTGTAATAATATTTCCTTTCAGCAAGGTAAACACGGAGGGCTCCCAATTACCTGTATATCTTTCAGAAGGTGCCAGTTTCCAACATATGATAGAAACAGAATTATGAAATTGATGAAGTGAAGACCAGAAGAAGAAAGGTTAGTTCAATTCTAATTTATTCCATTTAACAAATCATTGAGCAAGTGGAAGTCAACACCTTCCACAACAGTTCTGTTTGTGCTTAAAGCACTCACGAGAACAGATTTTCATAACAGGCAAAAGATCCAAAATTTCTTGATTTATATGAACGAATACTACAACCTTTCATTGTCAGTTCACAGTTTGAAAAGGTCTTGATAAAATTGATTATAGTTTCCCTACTTATGCTGATCATGGCTATTTTAAAGTCCCTGAAGTAAAATAATGGCTATTACGTATATTCTAAGTGACACTTAAAAAATCTTTCAGAATAGTCTTAAATTGAATTGGATTTTTAATATCTATAATATAGAATAGCATCATATGCCCAAAGTATCACAAATGAACAAAAATTACACGTTATAAATTCAAAAGAACTTGGCAAATTCCTACAAGCAGCAAACATTTTAATTGGTCCTACTTTGCTCCCAATTTGGAACCACTGAGAAGAATGATGCAACACAGCCAAACAAACAAACCAGACCAACAGAACAAAATCCATTTATGCTAATTGACAAACTGTTAGTACATAGCAGTGGTTGTAACTGGCACAAGTGGGAATTAAGTAAATTACACAGCAAGTAACAAGACACAATACAGAACATGCAGACACCTTGAACGAGGGATTCTTGTTATGTTATTCCCTACTTGAATTCTGCCACCTCATTCAGCAAGGTGGGTTAACAGGAAGGGTAATTACATGAGTGGGAGCAGCAGTGGTGGTAGTTGTATCATCAGTTATTGCAGACATCCAACTCAGGGTTGGGGATGGAGTGTCAGAATGATCCGTGGTGTCGTAGCCACAGGTTTGCAGCTCATCTAGAGTGGCAGTGGAGGACTCACTCAGGTTGCAAGACGAATATTCACTCAGAGTGGAGTCAGTAACAAACGAAGATGCTTCATTCGGGTTTGTGAAAAGATTCGAGCTCAGGGAAAGAAGACTGTAAGAAGACGGGGTGGGATAACGGGCTTTCAGGAGGTGGGAAGGGCTGACGTCATCGAAGGTAGCTGGCTCTCGCTCCACACCATAGCAAGGCGAGAGAAGAGTCCTGTTACTAGGTAGCAGAGGAAGAGGTGAAGCAACGTCTGATGAGATTTGCCAGCATCCCTGTGATGTTTTAATCTTGGATGCCGTTTTCTCTTCTGACTGACTTTCAGGCTGAAGGAGGGAGAATATTATAGGGGTGAACACAAGAACAAGTTATTAAATGTTGGGGACAATTAATCAAACAGTCTTCCAAACAATGTCTTCAGTTAATTCTCAAATGCCCATTGATTGTACGATGTAGTAAAACAAAATAAGAACATTGCTTCGCTCTGTTCCTCAATTATGTTGTTAATGGTGATTATCATGGAATTTGCATTTAAATTTGATAATCCACTTCTAAGCTGTTTCGAACATACAAAGGAACTAATAATTGAGCTCCTCACACCGTACTGATAAGTAAAGACTTGGTTCAGACCAGTAGTTTGCAGCTCCTCACTGGGGACCACTTTCAAGCTTCTAATGTCACATGTTAACTTCACAGTTGAGCACAGAGAGGGAACAGGCCACAAATCCATTAAAATATGCACCAACATATTTTCCATTTGTTAAAGCAGACACGTGATGCAGTGAAAATTAAAAGAAAAGTACAAGTTCACAAATCGGTGCACTTTCTATGGTAATGCCTTTACCAATCAGAATCTTCTAACTAACCAATCAGCAGTCTCCTCATTCAGTACAAATGCTGTTTTCCCTTGGTTGTGAATTGTTTTTTTTAAAATTCATTCATAGAATATAGACAATGCAGCTATCCCTGGCTCCTCTCAAAATAAGTGACTTGTTTGGCTTCTGCTTCCAAAGCCCATCTCTAAAAGGGATGTGAATCTGTGGAATTCATTGGCCCAGAGTGGTGCATGCTGGAACATTGAATAAATTCAAGGACACAATGGACATATTTTTAATTTGTAAAGGGTTGAAGGGTTATGGAAAGCAGGCAGGAAAGTGCCGTTGAGACTGACATGAGATCAGCCATGATGGTATTAAATGGCGCAGCAGGCTCGAGGGGCTGAATTGCCTACTCCTGCTCCTAGTTCCCATGTTTTTACGTTCTTAGTTCTGAGGGCAGTTAAGAGCACATTACTTTAACTCTGGAGTCACACGTGAGCCAAGCCAGACAAGGATGGCAGATTTCTTTACAACAACAACAGCATTTACCTGCACAGCATTAGGTTAGCATTTGATTCCAGATTTTTACTGAATTCAGATTTCTTTGCCACGGTGGAATTCGAACCAAGGTCCCCAGAACATTACAGCCTGTGGTTTGGGACAACCAGTGGCAATGACATGACCATCGTGCCATTGCCCCTCCAAGACAAAAACACTTTGACAAAATGTGTCTTTTTCCACTCAGTTCAAAAATCCTTACTTGAATCTAACTTTGCTTTTGCAGAATATATGACTAGAATTTCAAAGGTATTAAAGCTAAGAGTTTTACTGCAAGCCTCAAACACTCTAATTTTATAAAGTTTATTAACATCTGTACCATAGAAAATTGAAAACTTATTTATCCAAGTAATTGGAATAGATTCTTACAAGAAAAGTGTGGTTTCTTGCAAGCATAAGATTTCCTTTCCACAATGCAATTAAAACCTATTTTTAAAACTGGTGGAGTGAATAAGTTTCTCTCGTAGCATTTGTGGAGAGTAAACAGAGTTAGCATTTCAAATCCAGTGAAAATTCTCCAGTTCTGAAGAAGGGTCGCTGGATCCGAAATGTGAACTGTGTTTTCTCTCCACAGTTTTTGCCAGACCTGCTGAGTTTCTCTAGCAATTTCCATTTTGTTTGTTTCAGATCTCCAGCATCCGCAGCCCTTTGTTTTATTTCAGTGAATGAGGTCTTTGGGATCAGCAGCAGATACATTGCTGCACCAGTGGCAATACTTGCGAAAATATAACAATTTGTGAATATGGTCATGTCTAGTTTGGCAAAGTTGAACAAAATTTAGACAAATTGTTGCTTTCAGATTCATTACAACAGTCTCTAAAATTAAAACGAAACTTGAAAGTCATATGACTTTCGACGATTGATTTCAAACTTAGTCCTTTTGGATATTTTTCCCATCACCATCAATCATACCTACTGTCAATGCAGCAACTAGAACTGAAGTGTGAAACTTCACTTACATCTCCAATGCCAGAAAGCTCCATCAAATAAAAATACAGAATCTCACTCTAAAATTGCTCAAGCCTAACCTGGGAAATTTCAATTAAATAAAGGATTTTAAAATTAAAATTCAAAGGCAAAAAAGAAGTGCAGAAGATCAAGCAACAATTTATAGCATACGGTTTTATTCTTTATTCAGTTTTAGGTCAGGACAGCAACTGTTACCAATCTCCAATTGCCCTGGAATGGTGTGGCTTGCTAGGCCATTTCAGAGGACAATTTCAGAGTCGACCACATTGCTGTGCGTCTGGAGTCACACGTAGGCCAAACCAAGTATGGATGGTAGATTTCCTTCACTAAAAAGACATTAGTGAATCAATCGATGGTCATTTCATGATGCCACGATGGGAACTGGCTTTATATTTCAGATTTATCAAGTGAATTTATATTTCACCAGGTGAGATTTGAACCTGTGGCCACACAGCATTTGTCTAGGTTTCCAGGTTACTTGTCTAATGACACTATCCCTTTCCAACAGTCAGAAAGACAAAATTGGAAATGTTTTGGAAAGGTGAAAACTGAGAGGTATTGCATGGCAGAGAATTTCAGATTTCAGAAATACAACAATAAAAGCTTCAATCGTAGTTTGTAGATATTATGGGAGGTCAGTGGAGGCAAGATGGACAATGCACTGAAACATGATGCGAAGGTAGAATGCAGTAAGATCATCAAACGTCTCAGAAGTCAGCAGTTATGCAATCAATAGATTGAGGGAAAAGCAGCCTTTGGAGATTGACGGGACAATGGAGAGGCTGACGAGATGGATGGAGGATACAAACTTCTGAATGAGTCTGTGCATCTGTGCAGGGTGGCACTCAGAGACACGAAGGACCACATTCTAGAAGTCACGACAGAAAGCTACTTGCATTTATGTGGCAATTTTCGCAACCCAAGGAGGTCTGAAAGTGCTTCACAGATAACTATATTGCAAGCATAAGATTGAAATATAGCCACTGTTAGAATGTGTAGGGCAGACCTCCTACACACGCAAAGGGCCCAGGTAAATGACCAGATAGCTTTGTTTGATGGAGGATATGCTGAGCAGTACACTAAGAGACCTCCTTTGTTATTGATCTAATATTGTAATGAGATTTACATTAGACATCTCATCAAAGTACAGCATTCACTGATGCAGCAGCATTGCTCAGTCCTGCAGTGAAATGCCAGCCTAAATGTAAATAATACACTGGCATCTCTGGAGTAGCAGGGAGGCAGAGGCGAGACATCTACAGTGAAAGTAAAGTTCACACCACTTCATATGAGAAATCCTATAGAAATAGGTGTTGCTATGTCAGGATCAATGGGAGTAATGCTTCAAAACAGTAATCATTTTTTAAAATTGAGGCCCACCACCTAACAATATTGTGCAACTTGCTCCTACATCTGACTTGAATTTGATGAGATGCCCACTGACATAAATTGTTGTGAGTCAAAATGTTTGGTCTGGGTCACTCATTTCCTATTGGGAAACCATGGGTTTATTGGAATATGCTCTGCCTCATTTACATCTTTGTGTGGGCAGTTATTTGGTCTTTTGTTTTTCTGTGTCTGCCTCCTACTTCAGCATATTTTCTGAAAGTGAACTATTTGCTCGCAATAAACGCTTTCAGTTTTACTAGCCGGGGACTGTCCGTGCCTGTGAGGTAATTTTTCCTCCACAACACTGACAAGACTTTAGCATTTAATAGGTTTGATTTGTTAGCAATCTCTGGAGTTGTAGAGTTTATACAAGTCTCTGGGCTGTCAGGACTTAAAAGGAATCCAGGCTGTCAGAAATGAAAGGATGTTCAGGCTATCAGAACTGGACAAAAACCTTAAAACTGTTCTGGCAGTCCATGAAAGAAAACTAGAAAACGTCAATAAGAAATTAACGAGATAAGAAAGGAGTGCTATTTCTCTAGGCTTCATGAGCTTAAAGGCATATTGCGAGTAAACAGGTTCAATCTGTGTCTTTACTGTTTATGTTATAATCTTTCAAAATTTACCAACACATACACAGCTATATAAAGCTTTGCTTGTTTTCTTTTCTTTTGTATGATAAATTTGAGTAGTTTTGTTGAAAGAAAATTGGCAGCCTTGTGTGAATATGTTCAGTGACAAACCACCATGATAATGGACTAACTTATAAAACTCATTAGCTAACAAGCCAAGTTTTATTCTTGGATCTGACTTGCCCAGTATTGCTGTCACTGGGTTCTGTCTAAGCATCCTATGATCTATGTATCCTTGTTTTCTACAATCTGTCTGTACTGCTCGCAAAACAAAGCTTTTCACTGTGCTTAGGTACATGTGACTACAATAAATCAAATCAAATAACAATATTTCAATTTTTTTACATGAACCTTTTTTCATGCCTTGGGACATATCGCGCTGTTAAATGCAGATTTTTGCTGTAAATCGAGAGTCTGGGGTGACCACTGGTTTACAGTCTTGAACAAGACCTCAATTCTGAAGCTTTGAGGAAGAGTCTGATCACACTCGAAATATTAACTCTGCTTCTCCCTCCACAGGTACTGCCAGAACTGCTGGGCTTCTCCAGCACTTTGTTTTTACCTCAATCCTCTCCTGTCCTTAATAGCACTCCTGAGATAAACTTGGTAGGTAAAGGCTGATCGAGTCCTCCACTTGACCATGAAAACTTTAAGAGATAGGAGCAGAACTAGACCATTTGGCCCATCAAGTCTGCTCCACCATTTGACCATAGCTGATATGTTTCTCAACCCCATTCTCCAGCCTTCTCCCCGTAACCCTTGATCCCCTTAGTAATCAAGAATCTATCTCTATGTTATAGTTCAATCACTTGGCCTCCACAGCCTTTCGCAGCAATGAATTCC